GGACATGTATGTCTCCTTCGTCGTGCTGTTTATGGTCTCAAACAGGCACCCCGCGCTTGGTTTGAGTGTTTTCGCGATGTTGTGCTCAAAGCGGGCTTTATAGAAAGTCATCAAGATGCTTCTCTGTTTGTTCGCACTACATCGCGTGGCAGGGTTTTATTACTCATCTATGTAGATGATATGATCATTACAGGTGATGATATGACAGGTATACAATACGCAAAATCTCAGTTGCAACAACAGTTCCACATGAAGGATCTTGGATCTCTTCGGTATTTCCTTGGTCTAGAAATTTCTCAAGGCCCGCGGGGTGTATTACTGTCTCAACAGAAGTATCTCTCAGATATTCTAAATCAAGCTGAGTTAACTGATAATACAACTGTCGATACTCCACTCCAGCAGAATGTCAAACTTTGCTCTACTGACGGTGAGCCTCTATCTGATCCTACCCGATATCGACATCTTGTTGGTCAGTTGGTCTATTTGTGCATCTCTCGACCAGATATCTCTCATGCTGTTGGTATTGTCAGTCAATTTGTTAGTGCCCCACGTTCTGTACACTATGCTGTCTTATTACGGATTCTTCGGTACCTCCGGGGTACTAGCACTCGCTCACTTTTGTTTCCTGCTACATCTAAGTTAGAGCTTTGTGCATATTCTGATGCTGATTGGGCTGGTGATCCAACTACCAGAAAGTCTACCACAGGTTATTGTATATTTCTTGGTGATTCCCTTATTTCCTGGCGAAGTAAGAAACAAGATGTTATTGCTCTTTCCAGTACTGAGGCAGAGTATCGTGCAATGTCCACAACAGCTAAAGAGATTATTCATCTTCGTCGCCTTCTCAGTGATTTCGGTATTTCTGTTACGACTCCTACTCCTCTCTACTGTGATAATAAGAGTGCCATCCAGATTGCTAATAATCCAGTATTTCATGAAAGGACCAAACATATTGAGATCGACGCTCATTTTGTCCGTCACCAAGTTATCAAGGACAAGACAATTCTACTTCCTCATGTTTCATCCGCTGACGAGCTTGCAGATTTCTTCACAAAGGCCTTACCTGTTCATCGGTTCCAGTTTCTTGTACGCAAACTCACTTTGTTTGATCCAACATGAGTTTGAAGGGGGCTGTTGATAATAGTGTATTGTAGTGGGTTTTAGTCCCACATTGCTTGGGAGAACAAACCTCACACTCCTCTACTTGTATAAATATATGTGCACACTCAATATTCAATTCAAGGGAAATTTACCCAAGATTCTCTCTCTCTCTCTTACTTTAACACAAAGCATTGTAGAAATTCTGTGGATTGATGTCATGTAGGTGTAAAAACTCATGAACATTAATAATCACCAACATTCAAATATTCTTTCTTAAGGGAACGCGCTTTAGAAAAAGTCAAGCCTAGATAAACATCAACATCTTATATTGTGTAGTAGATAACTTGGAATATTTTCATGATTGCGAACTCTCCTAGCTGTTTTCTAGCTTCTGGAAAAGGAATACATCTTTCGGTGAATGATTAGAAAAAGCTATGGTGGGTACGTTTGTTGCCTGTCTATATGTATATATGAACCTTTTGGTGAAAGTTTTGAGATTGAACTTTTAATTAGATGGTGGACGTCAGCGTTAAGAAGCTTGCCATTTGGAACATTTTCTACCCATGCATTAATTTGATCCCCTCGTTCTTGGACATAATGTGATCATTCAGAGGGCCGGCAATTTTCTTGGTGAAATTGCGAGTAACTAGTTCCAGTACACTGCTTCATTAATACAAATTTGACGAAACAATTCAAAAGAATATAAATAAGTATAACCACATACGAAGAAGGAGTAGCTATGCTGAAGCAATAGCACTAAACAACCAAAACTAATAACAAAGTCACAAAAAAGTATAACCACATACAGTTGTTGAATCAGCTTATTTGGTCTTTCTCTGTTGGCTTGTGTAAAGTTGAAAAATCATATATAGATCAACAATAATAATGCTGATTACAGACAAATTTGAGATTATTTATTTATTTATTTATTTGATCACACCCTAGCTCCAAAAATGTGTCCTAACTACACTCGTTTGTAGAACAATTTGAGTTTTTTTGGCCCCATTTATCTACAATCTCCAAAATAAGCTTAAAAAAAACAAAAGAGCTAGAGAATGATGTTGAAAAGGGTGTAGATCAAACTCACCTCCGGCGACGAAGGGCTCCGGCAAGCTCTCGAGCAGGCGAGCTCGATTTGGCGATCTCCAGGCGACTTCGAACAGGTGAGTTGAGGAGATCAGACGCAAACTTCAGGCGAACGCAGACCTCGATCTCTGCGTTCGAACCTCCCCCTTTGCTGTGCGTTCGCCCCCCCTCCAACTCTGCGTTCGTCGACCTCAGCGTTCTTCGTTCGACCTCTGCGTTCGGCTCAGATTTTGGCGTCGAAGCGAACGCTGGCGACAGGCTGTCGCCAGCTCTCCACATCCGCCTATAAAGCCCCCCCTTTTGGCCCTAGGGTTCCGAGCCGAGCCTTCCCCTTCTCTGTTTTGTTCTTCTCTGGCGGCGACGGAAACCCCCCCCCCCCCACCCCCGCGCGCGATTTTGTTCCTTATCTTCTCACTTGGAATGCTCATTCCCACAAATAGTGGGAATGATCATTCCTAGGGAATGGTCATTCCAACATCTAAAATATTGGTGTGTTTGGTATGAGGGAATGGGAAGTGGGAATTGCATTCCATTCCTCCTCATTCCCGCGTACCAAACGAGGCGTAAAAGAGTAGCCGACTCTATAACAATAAAGTTTTATTACACACGCACCTCATATTTTGACCCTCTTCAATTACCAACTAACCAGAGAGGATCTGGATCCGAACCGCCGATCATCATTTGCTGCGTGATGCAATCTAGAGCACACAAAAATGTTAAAGGCAGGAGAATGTATCCTACGAATAGTTAGTCTTAAGCTGTTCTTAAAATTAACAATGTGTAAAGAAATTTATATTTTGATGCTGTCATATAATTTCCTTGTTTCTGTTGAAAAGGGTGTAGATCAAACTCACCTCCGGCGACGAAGGGCTCCGGCAAGCTCTCGAGCAGGCGAGCTCGATTTGGCGATCTCCAGGCGACTTCGAACAGGTGAGTTGAGGAGATCAGACGCAAACTTCGGGCGAACGCAGACCTCGATCTCTGCGTTCGAACCTCCCCCTTTGCTGTGCGTTCGCCCCCCCTCCAACTCTGCGTTCGTCGACCTCAGCGTTCTTCGTTCGACCTCTGCGTTCGGCTCAGATTTTGGCGTCGAAGCGAACGCTGGCGACAGGCTGTCGCCAGCTCTCCACATCCGCCTATAAAGCCCCCCCTTTTGGCCCTAGGGTTCCGAGCCGAGCCTTCCCCTTCTCTGTTTTGTTCTTCTCTGGCGGCGACGGAAACCCCCCCCCCAAATCGCAGCTGCGATTTTGTGATTAATCCCCAGCCTTCAACAGTTTAGTTGAGGGGGATTTAAGAAGAGAGAGAGGGAATTAAAGAGGGGTTTTAATTGTGGGGTTATTTATTCTCAAGTGAGAGAAATTGAAAGGGTTCATACCCTTTGACTATTAACACTGTAGCTACATTGTTTATTTGAGAAATCTCAGTTTTGAGATCTGCTCCTAAATTGTAATTTCTTGTTTGATTAATAAGAAATTATATGTGTGGCTCCCGAGGACGTAGGCAGTTGCCGAACCTCGTTAAATCTTGGTGTACTGTTCTCTATACCGCGTTTCCGTTGCATTAGGGGTTTCAGCGTTAAATTCCCAACAGTAATACTAAATGGAGAGAAGTTAAGCACTTAGGTTGGGTTGAATAAGAAAGATATCATCACAAGCATGTATTGGATTGGATTGGTAACCACCAGTGGAAAACATACAAATTCTAGACGGAACCTTGGTAGATTCTAGGCAACACAATAATTTGATCTTCAAGAAGACCACAGTTTGTGAGCGTCGACGCAGTTTACTCACTTGGAACCACCCAATGTGCCACAAAAGGGCAAAGTGGCTTTTTCTTTGTGCTCTCTGTCCTTTGCACCTTCTCCTCTAATTTACAAGTTTCACCAAATTTCCACTTGCTTTTTGTCTTCCTTCACTTGAACTTAATTGTTGTAGTTAGCCAAAGAATATTGAGAAGCGACCTAATTACAAAGAATACGAAGAAAGTATCAAATAGTTCCAGGTGTATACGGAGATATATAGTATCAAATAGTTCCAGGTGCATAGCATTAAATATGCACTAAATGGATGTCAAATGTTAGATCATTGTACATCGGGATTTGTCCGTGACCTTTCCCACTAGATACTTTCTCAGGAATGTGCGTTGATGATTCCTTAATGGCAGATGTTAACTTAGCTATTAACCTTGAAATAAGCGATGGAGAGAGAAGTCTCTTAATTATATATAATTAGCGTCCAACATATAACATCTAAATGATCGTGACACATCTCTCACATAACACGGGTTTCTGTTGAACCGTCTTCGTTATTACTTCACTCACTATATATGTTAAATAATAATGATTAGTATTATGATTGAAGATTTTATCTTGCCACTATATCTAATAGCAGTAGAGATCAGTATCTATCATATCAATGATTTGTGTTTTTGAATTGCATTACGATGTTAATTTACATCCCTACGCGACTCTCATTTCGCCTTTCTAGAATTCGACCGCATCTGATCAAAGGCCTTACACTAGAGAGTGTTGTGCCTTTCAATTCACATCAAAAAAATTTGAGCAATCTGCGTGCATTATTCTTTCGGGATCGACCATAAATCTGCGCCAAACCCAAATTTCTAGCTTGACCTTGTCAAAGCTTGGGCGGAAAATTAGTGTCCTAAACAAAGCAAACTAATCTGAACTGTCTCTCATCAAAAAATTGTCTAGCTAATCAAGCCGTACGTAACCAGCCAAAAGCTAACTAACAAACTCCCTACTATTTGAAGGAGAACCCTATAATTAGCAGACGAAGAAGGTGGGGGGGCCAAGAATGCATGAACAAGAAACCATCACCACAAGTTCTCAAACTTCCTACATATATATTTATGCCCACGCCGATTCCCCTCTTAAAGCAATCTCTTCCTTTCACCGCCACAACTACGCACAGATAAGATGGAGATCAGTGCTCGGATCATCCTCGCTCTGGGACTAGCATCCCTCTTTGTTTCCTCGACGACCGTCGCCGCTGGTACGTCCGTACTCATGATTTTCATGATTTACATGGGGGAAATTTACAAAATAGACTTATTTTGCTAAATATTTAGCAAAAAAGACCGTGTTGCTACCTCTTTTTAGCATGTTGGCAAAAAAGAGGTCGATTTTGCTAAACAGACACATACGTGACTAGTAGTTCCGTATAAGTTAACCCCCCATTAAATCATACGGGACTACTAGTCCCGTATGTTTCGAATGGTCTGTTTTGCAAATTAAATCGATCTCTTCTTGGTCTGTTGGCCAAAAAGAGGTCTATTTTGCTAAATATTTAGCAAAAGGGTCTGTTTTGCTAAATATTTAGCAAAATAGGTCTATTTTGCAAATTTCTTCTTTACAGGGTTGATTTAATTAGTATTAAACTAAAATGTCTGTCGCGTACGTACAGCAGCTGATGCGGTTTTTGGATATGGGAACGGGCCTAATGGGCCTCAGCACTGGGGTAGTTTGAACCCGCAGTGGCGCCTCTGCAATGGTGGGGGGCGGCAGTCTCCGATCAACATTGCCAAGGAAAATATCACGGACCGTCCTAAGCCGGAGACGCTGGCTAGAGATTATGCGGACGCGAAAGCTACACTTGTCAACAACGGCTACAATATTATGGTTTGAGTTTTATTTTCATTTATTTTTTTCTTTTCCTTTCCTTTTTCCCAATGCGGCGTGAAATATATATATATGCATTGGGGATTAAGTTGATGGTTGTGATCTTTTGTAGGTGAGGTATGATGAGGGGGTCGGCACTGCTTTCATTGAGGAGAAGAACTATTCACTTCAGCAAGTGCATTGGCACATGCCCTCTGAGCACACTTTGAACGGTGAAAGGTTGTGATTTGATGTATATATCTCTCTCTCAGACAGGATTTGTATTCTTTATTATTAATTTGCTTACAAATCTATTTGTGACAGGTACGATGCTGAGCTCCACATGGTTCACAAAAAGGATAACTTTTATGCCGTGGTTGCTATCCTCTATAAAATCGGACATCCCGATACATTTCTTAACCAGGTAGAATTTTTTTTTACTGCACCAAAACTTTGAAGTTGTGATTGGAAGTTAGCTGTTATTAATTTTATAACCTGATAAAGTTGTATTAATTTATTAAGAACATTATTTGTGACCGGTAGTATCTTTAAGTTCTCGCACTATATCAAAACTTTGGAACTGCGTTAAGGCTTTGAAATTTTATAACTTTATAATCGAAAACGGCAATTAAGCTTCGATTTAGATGGCTAGAACCTAAATTTACTTATTTAGAACAGGTTTTAAAAAATATATATCCAGTGAGAATGAATATAATTAGTTTGATCTAACAATATCATCTCCAATCAGATAATTTGATGAGCATTGAGAAGTATAATTTTGTACTTTAACAAAAAAAATGTTTATCTATATATGTATACGTTGTCGTTGTTGCAGCTAATGGATGGTTTGGAGAAACTAGCAAAGGAAAAATGCAGCGATAATCAAGAGGCGAGTGTCCCAGTGGGGGTAATAGACAACAAGTCATTGAGGCGCTCCACCAAAAAATACTATCGATACGAGGGATCCCTCACGGCGCCACCCTGCAACGAAGGTGTCATCTGGAGTATCCTCGGCAAGGTACATACAGTTAAATTCATGTGTGAGTATAGTCTCACATCGGATCGACAGGTTAAAAAAAAAACAACGATAGACCTCTGAATAGGATTCGGGGCCTAATAGTTCAAACTTTTGGATTAGTTTATATGCAACGTACTCTGACTAATATTTGATGCTACAGGTTAGAGAAATGTCACCGGCTCAGGCTGCCGCTCTCAGAGCACCTCTTGCTGAAGCGTACCGTAACAACTCAAGACCGATACAGCCGTCGAACGGGAGAAGCGTGTGGATGGTAGACGAAGGGAAGAACAAGGAAGACGGCCCGGACGCTTAGAACCGCAATGTGTAACAAACGCCACTATTTGCTCGTCAATTGAAGGGAGATTCGTCTCATGAGCTCGTGACATTTTTATTTTATTATGTCATGAAGATATATTAATTTGTAATAAGGCCTCCTACAAGGAGCCATCTCGTTTGTCTTTGTATGGGCTTGAGAATTTACTTATTTTTCTTTATGTACATGTTAGGGGTGTAACATGAGGTTAATGTCACATTATTCATCGATTAAATTCTACTAATGGTTGTTTACCCAATAAAAGATTGTCTACTAATGCGAATATAACCCACGGTTCTTTTTGGGCTTTCATACTTGGTACAACATGGGTCGTTTGGACTACAAAGTGAGCCGAAATATTTTCATTTTGAAGCAGAAGTTGGGCCGAAGTGTTCTTTTTTTTTATGGGCTGCAACGTTGTCATGCTATATTTATTTGATTTCTTTTTTGGTACAGAAGCGTTGGAATTAATTTTTTTAACATAAAACCAGTTTATGAACCGAATGTACAATCATGGGTTTTTCGGTTTTATCTAAATATATTTTCTATTAGGGAGTGTTTGTCAATCTGAAAGTGAATTTAAAATATGTAAGTTACTTTTTTACAAATGAATTTTACAGTCATGTCAGCACGCAAGTGAAATGCAGGGTTTGTTTGAAAAATTAAATTATTATTGAAAGTACAATGTGAAGATGACGTGACAAAATAAGATTAATTAGAAAGTAACTTTCTCACTTTCATCTTTCGCTTGCATACAAACAAACACCCCTTTAATGCACGTGACTAGAAATCAGATATGAATATGAATGTACAGAATTCTATAAAGTCTAATATGAATCCAAGGATTCGTTGCAGCAAGCCCGTAATTTTGTATCCATACTGAATATTCGATTAAGTTAGCCAACAATTTGGTGGCCAACAAATTAGAAAGTAAGACGTTGACTAATAATGCCACTCAAACCCAAAACAAAGGGTGGGGTTCATCCCTCAATCATAATCCCCTTTTTTTTTTAATCTTCTCACCAAGCTTTACACACTCCAAAATTAAAATTTTCACGAAGAAAGGGAAAAAGTTGCAAAAAAAAAAGAAAAGAAAAATAAAAACCAAGTCCGACAAATATCTACATGTCAACAAGAGCAACAATCCTCGTCACCGTCGATCCAACGGCCCGGACCACGCCACGTGTCCAATCTCCTCCCCCTCTAAATCGAACTCCACGTCACCACCCCACGACGCCGGCCTCCGCCCTGCTTAAACGAACCTCTTCATCCCCCCAACCAGGCGGCTCCGCCGTGCGGGCCACCTCCGTTCTCCTCTCTCTCCCCGGAAAATTCCTTTCGTTTCTCACCGCCGTCGCCTCCTCGTCCTCCTCTCTTTCGGCCGCCGAAAGCACCCAAAAAGACTCGCCCAACACCCCCACCCTCGGCGACCCCCGGCGCTCCCTCTGGGAATGCGACCCTACCGAAGCAGGAAACTTTCGGCGACCCCGGGATCCGAAACGTCCACCCCTTTTTAGGGAAATCCTCACCTGAGCTCTCCTCCGCGCTGCGACCCAGGTACCCGAGTGCTGGATCTTGTTCGGCAAGCCGATTCGGGGCCTTGGCCGTCGCCTTGAGGTTCCCGCTGAACCTCTGGGAGGTGGTGGGTCCGCCGCCGGCTGGCTTTGGTGGTGGTGGAGGTGGGACTTGGGTTGGTGGTGCCCTGGTGGAGTCGTCGCGGTCGAGCAGCTGGTTGTTGATGCTGCTGCTGACTGACCAGTCGAGGTCCGAGACGGAGATCGGGAAGGACTCGGCGGGGAGGTCCGGCGTCGGCTCGGGTCGGGGCCCGGTGAGTCGGTTGACTGCATTGCGACTTTGGAGTCGCCGACGCGGACGAGGGAGTCGAGGTCGACGAGCTGGGGCATTTGAGGGGGCAACTAGCTAGCAGAGGAGCGGGGGAATTAAGCGGATGCTCGAGGGGTAGCGATCGAGAGAGGGACTTTTAAAGAGTTGGTGGGGGTGTTTTTTGCAAATTCGTAGTTTGCACAAGTTACGTAACCGGTGATTGAGGGTACGTTCTGAGAATTTATTTATTTATTGTTATTTTCTTTTTCTTTTTATGTGACAATTGGTTACGTACCCTTCAGTGCTGCAAAACATGCATCGCTATTTATTATTATTTATTTGGCGATTTCTAGAAAAACCCAAAGGAGGAATTTGGCTGAACCTCACTTGTCCCCTCTATTGATCCTATATTTTGGGTCCTTGAGGAATTTTTCTGCGAAAAATAGTAGTTTTACGACTGCACACATTGGTAGGCAGCATCATTATGGTTTTAATTAATTAACATCAATATTTAATAATTAATTAAAGAGGTGGCGCCAGCTGCGGACGGAACAGAATTTTCTGGGAAAAAAATTTAAAGGTAAAAAGAGTTTAAGAACTCTCTTATCAGTTTGGACTTCCAGCCGTCGGACCCGCTTGAGTGCGGGTCCCACCTTAGTAGCTGGTTTACACGTGGCGTGAGAGCCGAGAAGGCGGCCGTAACGGGGGAGGGATTAGGGATTAGCTCATCTTGCCTTAAAGTTTTGTCCTTGTTTTCTTGTGAATCATTCAAACTCTTTTTTAAAAATTTTGACTTTATCAGGACCATTTTAATCTCAACAAAAGATTTGAATCTTCTAGTTACTTAACAAGTGACGAAACATTAACATCACCCATGAATTTTTATGGCCGGGAAGATGACCGCTCATAATTAAGTGCCTTTTTTTTAGTGAATGAGAGCGTTCTCAATTTAATCCAAGTGCTTGAGAATTGAGAGAATCCACATTTCCTTATGATATGATCATAATTTTACATTAATGACGGTACATCGACTCATGGTGGAGATTATGGTGTCTTTGGATAGGAGTACATGAAATCCCATGTTGTTTCAACTATATCTAAATTTAATATGTTTAGTTGAATAATGCATGAGAGCGTTCTTAATTTAATCCAAGTGCTTGAGAATTGAGAGAATCCACATTCCCTCCATTTCCTTTTGATATGATCATAATTTTACATAAATGATGATACATAGACTCATAGTGTAGACTATGGTGTGTTTGGATAGGAGTTAGCCCTGTCCAAACGGGTCGGCCTAAGCCGAGCAAAGCTGGAGCCTGGGCCCGACAAAACTGGAGCCTAGGCCCGGGCATGAGCGGGCCGGCCACCGGGCTGGTCTGATTTTTTTAAATTTTTTATTTCTTTAAATTTTCAAGAATACATAGCCAAAAATTAAACAAAATTTTAATAAAAACAATCATATAATTAATCACTTATAATTACATAATTTATAAATACAAAAAATTATAAAAATTAAAATGATAAAAATAACTTATTTATTAATAATCAGATAATTATCTACAATTATAAATTTAAAGAAATTTACAACCTAATTTGAAGTGAGTGACAAGCTTCATTGTATTGGTGAACCTCATCTTTGATGTCGAACCTCGTTGTGTTAGTGAACCTCGTCTTTGATATCGAGCCTCTCTGCATTGGCGAGCCTCGTCTTTGATGTCGAGTCTCGTTAAGACGAGTTTCAAATGAGCTTCAATGCTTTTATTTGAGCTTCCAGACGACGTTCCCCTTCATGATGAAGTTCGTCATGATGAGGTGTGACCCTCGTCTATCTTTTGACATATTTAGTGCCCACAAGGCCAAATGATTAGCCGATGATAATGATCTGTGAATATCAATGAGAGTAGAGGAGAGATATGGCTTTTGACTAGCCTCTCAACCCCCCCCTCCCCCGTGTTTTCGCCAAAAGTCGAATTTGTTGTCGAATTCATTATATCTTCGGTCGATTACAATAAATTCAAAGAAAACAGCCTTTTTATAAGACTCTTTTACACAACAAAAAGAAAATTACAACTCTTGAGAAAATAAACGCAGGATCGTTGTTTGGATCACTGCTTTCGTGGGATCTTTGCCTGTGCCGGGAGCGCTTTGACTCGTGGACCACCAAATCACAGATTCTGATTGAACCGTGAGGGGTTTATGATTCTGACTTCGTTTATCGAAGTGAGAAATTGAAACGATATCTTATCGATGTAAGATAGTCGTTCTTCTTGAAATCAAGTCAAAGCCTGATTATCAAGGATTGGCCGTAAGATCAGCACCTCTGCTCTCTCTCTGCTCTGGATTGCTCTGGATTGCTCTGAAGTACTCACAATGATCAGCCCCCTGGAAAAATGGCCTTAGGAGGGTATTTATAACCTCCAAGAACAGTTGGCAGAAAACAGGTTCGCGAGACAGCTTTTGCTGTCTCGACGGGCGAGACAGTGTTTGCTGTCTCGGCCCGCGAGACAAAATGTAGTTTTGACCATCTGAAAACTGTCTTACGTGCAAGACAGTAAATTCTGTCTCGCACGGCGAGACAGTAAAGACTGTCTCGCACGGGCGAGACAGTAAAAGTCTGTCTCGCCTGCGAGACAGTAAAGACTGTCTCGCACGGCGAGACAGTAAAGACTGTCTCGCGCGGCGAGACAGTCAAGTCTGTCTCGCACGGCGAGACAGTCAAGACTTGTGTTTTTTTCCTGCCTTTTTGGATGATTTCCTCTTGAGCTGTATTTGGATATCTTTCAGCATTTTTTGACGCCTACACCCCGTTTCTTTCATGTTGATCTTGCCTATTTATAGGCTTAGGATCATTATGTAGTGAGTTAATGAGGGTTTAACTCCTATTATAATGAGGGAGTTAGTGGTCATTAACTCCCACTTAAATGGGTGAGTTAGTGGTTATTAATTCTCCGTAAATGAGTGGGTTATTGGTCATTAACTCTCCTTAAATATAGCCGCTGAATATTATGACAGACGAGGTTCGGCTATGCACGATGTTCATCAATAATGGCAACGACGAACTTCATCTTCAATGACGAACTTCATTTCTGGACGAACTTCGTCTTCTGAGGGATGAGGCACTGTTTGATGAGGTTCGTCTGCAGATAGACTTCGTCTCTTGGATAAGCTTTATTTTCTAGAGGATTTTCGTCTCTAAGCGACGAGCCTCGCCATGCTTGTATCAAGGTTCAACCTTGCTTAATTCCTTAGCATTTATTAGTAATTACAATCACGTTGATAAGTTTGACGAGATTTTTTTTTAAATGCTGGATAAAAATCATCTGTAAACATATCTTTAAATTTATCATCTTCTACTAATTTAAAAGGAAGATTTTAAAGAATAATAAACCTGATGATGTATTTCTTGGCTCGGACTGCGTC